GGGGGGGTGGGGGGGGGAACAAACAGAAAGGTTATAAGCATATGCATTAATCTTAAAAATAAATACAAGAATGTAAAGCTACCATGTACTGGTAAATGCATTAAAGAAATAGCCTGTTCTTTCTATACTTTCAGTAGTAAAGATAACATAGTAAAAACAAACCTAGTCCAAACACAGCTTTGTAGTCTCCCCTGATACTACCAAGAAAACTCTTTCCTGGCAAATCGGGCCTTACTTTGCAATTGCCCATCTAAGCCTGACACTCAGCGAAGTCAGCTCCTGCATTTTACTGCTCCTCCTTATCAGCTTCCCCCCTAAAAACCAGGAAAGTGATATAAAGCAACATCAAGGCATTTACAGTCACCACAGAAGCAAGACTCTGAACAGGATTGTGGTAGAAAGTACGATTCCATCCTCGCATCAAGCAGCCACCTGTGAACCATCACATCACAGTCTCTCCCTAGCATCTTGCAAAGGTACTCACTCTGTTTGACTGAGATAGCAAAGAAAAAAAAAAGCACACCTAGAATTTTAGTTCGTGAGCGAAAAAGGGAGACAAATAAAAACTAACAAAACTCTAATATAAAAAATAAACACACCACCACCATTCCTATCCCTCCATTTGTCTAACTGGGTTACTGCTCTATCACTGTTTCCTTCCTTTCCCAGCACACATTCGCCACCCTCTAGTTGCTATGTCCTCACTCCAATTTCTGTATCACCATTTTTTCCAATAATTTGCAGAAGAAAATGCGACCTAGCCGTTGTGACACCCACTGTAGACTTGATTAACATGTAGAAGAACGAAGGAAAAGTCTTCAATACAAAAATATATATACAGTCTTTTAATAGCCAAAAGTCTCTGTAAAAATACAGTTCCCCCTATTTTTATTAATCTTTGCAATTTAAGACAACCCAGCATATTCCATTTACAAGACAACAGTATAAAGGGGCAGTTTGTGGTTGGTTTTTTTTGTAAATACATCTCATCCATAAAAGGACAAAAACTCCCTTTTAGCATGATGAAAAGCAAACACAAGATGTCTTGCCACACCCAGGGTATTCCTTTGCTTGCATACACTTGGTTCTGTGCAGCTATCTAAACAAAAAAAAAAAACCGCGATGATTTGCAAAGAGATGGAGATTATTATCCATAATTTTTAAAAAAATGTAGAACTGTAGGCTTCTAGACAGCAGTGGGAACAGATTAACATTTTCTGTTAATCTAAACCAAAAGAAGTCTTTGACTTGCCTTCTGATAGGATTAAGGTAGGTGACTTAAGTCAAAACACTACAAAGATTCATGCTTGAAGTATCTGTTTTACTCAGAGCCACTCCAGAAGGTGAATAAAAACCCCAATTCTGGAAAGATACTCGAATGCTTACATAAGATGCTACATCCTTGTACTTTCCTCTTCCCTTATCTAATCAAGACACAATGGTCAACATTGGCAGTCTTTTTACAAAATTGTACAGCTGTCCATGTCCCAGAAAAGAGAAGGTGCTGCATGCTAGATTGCTCTTTATGGTTAAGACAAAAAAAAAAAAAAAAAAGGTACTTCTACCTGTAGCATTTGTTTTCCGTTATTTAGCTAAAGTCGTGACGGTGCAGGAAATAAAAGGCACAAGTGACTGTAACAAGGAATGTATGCCACTTGCAATTCTTGCTCTGATCCTTCTTGACTTCCACAGTTCATCTCCACCAAAATAAAGAAAACAACTTTCACCTGGGTAAGAGCTAACTCTAGATCATGAGCAAGATCTGATCTACGTATAAAACAAGTCCGAACAGCAGACCTAGCACAGTAGAGTTCCAACAGGCTGATCTGTTTTGATTCCCATGAATTACAGTTTCAGCTTCTATCTTTCACACAGCAGTTCATTTTAAAACCTTAATGTCTGCAGAGATAAATGCTAGAAGTAGCTATTTGCAACCCTGAGTAATATATTCACATTACACATCATTCCACCTAAAAAAGCTGCAGAGAGAAAAAATATTCTAGATCACACCTGGCTAAGAAAAGTTTGCTTTTTTTTCCATGCCTCATGTACTTGATGTAATTGTGCCGATAGCTGGGGCCCTCAAACCACATTACATGTCATTCTACCTAAAAAAGCTGCAAAGAGAAAAAATATTCTAGATCACAACTGGCTGAGAAAAGTTTGCTAAAGTTTGCTTTTTTTTCCATGCCTCATGTACTTGATGTAATTGTGCCGATAGCTGGGGCCCTCAAACGTCCAGAGGCTGAACTTTCTGAAAATAACAGTGCTAAAGAAAAAGCACACAAGAAAGTTTTCTTCTCCCTTTTCCAGCTTCAAGATAAGAGCAGAGACAAGACAAAGCAGCACTGCCTTAGTTGAAATGAAAACAGGAGCAACCCAGGCCATTACCAAATAGGTTCAAAGATCTGCCAAAACTATCTTTCTGACTAATTTAACAGCCACAAAGATTCTTTAAACTTTGCCTGAAGGAGAAATTTTATAAGGGTAAGACCTAATTTAACAAATTTCTTCTCTGTGTTTATCTAAACTCTTCTATCATTATCCTCTCTTCAATCTTTCTATATATTTAGGAAAAAATTGACACGTATCCCAAGATCTTTTAATGATTTAAGAAAGCCCTCATGATGCGGACAATAATCTTAATCAGGATGCCTCTAAGAGCATGTAAGTACCCAGTGGGGATAATTTTTTGAGTGTTCTGAATTGGGTAGAAACGAAGCCATCAGCTGGCAACCCCGTTTAAAGTAATCATTAGTAATTACTACATTTTGAAGGAAAAAGCAGAAATAAGTATTGATTGGTAAGGACAAATCAAAGAACCAGCCATGTAAAGGCAGAACACAGATCTTTTGCAAGATAATTTAGAAGTTATATTTAACATCTGTAACAGACTTACAGGATGCCACATACAGACCTTTTCCCAAAAAAAACCTGCAGTTTTCTTTCAGAAAAGAACATTAATAAACAGAACTTTTTTTTTAATTTTTAATGCTTAGAAGGCCTCCAGCAATAATATTTGAAAACAGATCATCTTTGTCAACCCTAAGTTCTCTCCTTTGTTTCAATTCCTACCATGATGTTTGTGTACTCAATGCTAGCATTTCAAGCTTTTTACACTGGAAGACTTTAATAGTTTTACCAACTCATTTTTCATACCTGTTCTTCTCTAGAATGTTTGAGAAACTTCTACTGCGGACACAAGAAGCAGTGGCAACCTCTCTGACAGCATGGCACAGACATTTTTGTGTCTATATAGACAATGCTCTCCAGAACAGTTTGCCACAGAGCCAAAACACAGTTGTAGTGGTACAATGGGGTTGACAGTGATGGAAATGCATACTCACTGATTTTTTTCAGTTATTTTTTCCAGTTGCCTCTCAATGTCCAATTTAATACAGCTCAAAAAAAAAAAAAAAAAACACCACACCACACACAAATGCATGTCCCTTATTTTATTCTTTAAAACGGATGACTACCTAGCATCAATCCAGTCAATTTTATAACTTTAGGAGTAAAATCAAACGTTAAGTCTGTATCTAGAGCAAATACTCTTAAAAAACCATACATTTCAACATATTATTTTTCTTGGAATTTGAAAATGGTCTCCGATTTTATTCTCATCATCAATGGCACGGCAGCAGCAGTTGTATCCAAGAGCACTTGACATAACAGTTCTAACAGATTCTTCTAGTTCTGCTGGGGGAGTGAAACAGGTTTTTAAGGATGGCTAACAAAGAAAAAGCTCAGCTGAAGTGTTGCCAAGATAGATAACACTAATTATTAAGCCAGTTCCCAGCAAAGACAGTTAAGAATTTAATTGTCAATATCACTTTTTCGAAAAGATAAGCATGTAAAGCATGTGGGATCCACAATGTGGGATTCCCTGTACTATTCCTGAGGCTGAAAATGGAACACTCTGGCAAACACTCGAACAAATAAAGTACTATTTGCCTTCTAACACACTGTGCAAACACAAAGCTGTTTACAGGTACTGCCATAAAGACTTTATAATCTAAAAAGACAATTAAAAGGGAAAAGAAAACTATTAATTTTTTTGCCTTTCCATATTGACTACCTCTCCCTTGCTTCTGGTCTTTTCTGGGTTTAGGTCACTATTTATTTATTTATTTCATTCCCCCTTCATATAGTCCTTTCAAAAGAATTTCCGTAGAGTTCATAGAAAAGAAGAAAAGAGAAGCCACAGAAGGTCTTCATATAGTCCTTTCAAAAGAATTTCAGTAGAGTTCACAGAAAAGAAGAAAAGAGAAGCCACAGAAGGAAAAAACTAATTAAACATCACAGAAATTTAGAGTTGAGCACATGGTCAGACAAGTGAAGTTTACTGTTTTAGTGACTGACGTGATACCTGCTGTACTACTCAGGCAAGCCTGTACGTACTCTAACGTACCTGTTTTGTGATAGCCGCGACAGCCACTTTCATACACGTTTACATCAATATGGCTTTTATTCTGGCCAAGGGAGCTGGATGACAAACTTAAATGAGCTAGAGCAGCCTAGACTACTTCGGTGACTACTAATGATGGTAGACAGACATCTGATAGTACGTCACGTCCCCAGTATATACTCCTTATGTCTCAGTTGTTGCAGCTGTCCTGCCAGCACCATTGCTTATCAGACTTCCTACTCAGGACTATGGACCATATCTGGCATTCCTCTTTGGAAAAAATAGACCTTGGTTTTAAGAAGCAACAGCGTTGAATTAACCTTTGGTAAATTGTCCAACTAGTTACTACAGCTCTTTAAAATATTCGGACCATATCTGGTATTCCTCTTTGGAAAAAAATAGACCTTGGTTTTAAGAGGCAACAGCGTTGGTAAATTGTTCAACTAGTTACTACAGCTCTTTAAAATATTCATAACTTCTGCATCGATCTGTCTAATGTTGAATTTCAGCCATTGGACCTTAGCATCTGGGATCCAAAACTAAAGGAGCTGTTGGAATCTTCTCTTCCCAATACACACTTACAGACTGCTCTTTTGATAAATTACACAGATTAAGCTCCTCAAGCCTTCAACCCAGTGTTACCTAACACAACTGTGTATACACCAAGCGTCATACTAGCTCTATTACTGTTTTCTATAATACAGTCATTCAATTCACAAGGGCACCCCACATTCCCTCACACGCACAACCTTCCTTATGGCTGTATCAAAAATACACCGCTTGCCTGTCACTTGCTACAAACGTAGTTGTCATATCTACAACAATCTCTCCATCAGATCATTTTCAAATCTGAGCTAGTAACAGATCTATGCTCCTTCTACTCCATCAATCTGGCGAGGTAAGGATTCCCTACTCACCATTACACCAACACTTGCCATTACGCCATTTTCAGTGGCCAGGCTTATTTTTCAGTTTCCCTTTCCCACAGCCTGTACAGCTTAATGACTAGGTTAGCTAAGACATAGGTCTTCTTTAGGGTGGACTTTGTCCTTAACCCCCCTTGTAGCTTTGTGCTCAACGGGCATGAGTGGAGAAATTCTCACTGTGAATTCATTACATTTTTCCAACACGACATTAGTAGTCATAGAAAGTGGTTAGATGACTATGTAACCTCCAAAATTTTAAATAAACACTATATTAAGATTTTTCTATTTCATCTGAATATATTAGAAACTTCTTCTATAGTATGAAAAAGGTTAAAAAAAATTAAAACAAAGGTAAAAGGACTGAGAATATGGTCTAAAGTTACGTAAATATTTCAGTTAGATAGCAAGCTACAAACCAGCATCCTATCAAGAGCCAGTCTGATTAAAGCAGAAGAAAATGCAAAACCCCAAATACCTTACCCTATTAAAATGTTCACTCAATAACTTTAAATCTACTATAAAATAGAATTGTTTCAATGCTACACACAGTCTAAGATGATGCAAAATCTTAAACTCAAAATCAATTTATTAAACATGAATCATAAAGACAGTACAGTCAAATTAAGTTGAACACAGGTGACAACAAAACAACAGATGCTTAACAACTGAGAAAATACAAACTGAAGTACTTTGTCTTGCTTTTGTTTCTTGTATTCCAATGCTTTACTTTTTAAATCTGATTTTCAGCCACACAAATTTCAGTCTGGTCCTGGCATACAAGTGCTAGATCCTTGAAGGACACAGCTAAAATATTTCCAGTAAAAAAACAAACAAACAAACAGAAAAACAACCCCAAACTGATCTATACTAAGCACTTAGTCTTTCACCTTCAATAGAAAAGTAATTTATGTGCTGTTTATTTACTGAAATTGATGGCTTGTAGTAAGGCACACTATGTCATACTACTTGCTGTATTTTTCAGAGAGCATCTTATGAAAAAGTCTACCCAGTTTCTTCAGGTACACCACTGTTTCAAAAAAAAAAAAAAAAAACACCGAACCCAAAACCAACACACAAACACAAAACAAAACCAACACACACAAAAAAGCCACCACCAAAAAACCCACAAAAAAACCCAACACACCAAATGCATTCCAAAGCATCTGTAGGACACTTTTTTTTTTTGACAAGACATTATTTGTTAAGGATAGACAGCTGTCACTTGGGCTCTTCAGGCACCACTATTTCTAAACAAAGTTAATTCTACGGCTGCATCAAAAACACACCAATGTGCTTGCAATAACGCCAAGTCACCATTTCTGAAATACAGAGCCAACTACAAATCAGCCATCGTACCAACTTTCTCCCTCCCACTTAGGGCAGCACATTAGTTAGAACTGTCGATATAGCATTATACTAATTAAAAACTTTCCAAAGGATGTATGTATCTTTTATATATGGTCAGTACCAGGAGAACTTAATATAAAAAACCTGGGTATAAATTCATATGACATTAAAGTTTTTAGATTACTATGACCACTGATATTTTGGTTTATGGCAAGTGAATCAAAGCGATGAAACTCTACTGAATTGTCTGGCTATTAAAATTTATTTGTTTGCTAAAAATATCCAAGTAGTAAGAACACATTTGCTACAGCTATTCTGTCAATGAAATCTAAGTATCTGAACACACACATCAAATAAATCACAATTACAAAAAAAAACCACCACAACACATTAATCCACTATTAAGTCTTACCTTATGTGCTGGCACTAGATTAACTAACACTGTATCCAAAAGTTCCTGCGACACAGTATCTCCCTCACAAATGATAGAGCTCATTAGATCAACCATGTGCATGTGTACTTTTTGGTTATGACCGTTGCTGAAATTAAAAACAAGAATTCTTAGTGTACTATTCATATAAAGCACAACTTCCATTCAGAGTACTCCCTGAAGTGATGCCAAACAACAAGAAATATAATAATCAAATCACAAGTTTTCTTAGAAGTCCAAATACTTAAGTTTCTCAGCTGTATATACCACTTTCCAACATGTTCCTGTATCTCATGCCCTCTTCATTAACTACTGTAGTAAAAGAGTAAGAGGACTGTATCTGTCCCTACCATTAAAACACAGCGCATTAGAACATCCCTCCCCTCTACTCAACACTGGTGAGAGTTCATCTGCAGTGCTGTGTCCAGTTCTGGGCTTCCCAGCACAAGAGAGACAGGGATATCCTGGAGTCAGTCCAGCAAAGGGCCACAAAGATGATTAAGGGACCAGAGCAGCTCTCATACAAGGAGGGGTTGAGAAAGCTGACATCGTTCTTTAGCCTCAAGAAGAGATGGCTGAGGGAGGAACTTATTATGTTTAAATACCTGATGTTGGGAGTAAAGAAGACAGGGTGAGACTCTTCTCAGTGGTGTCCAGTGACAGGACAAGAGGCAATGGGTGCAAGGTGAAATACAGAACATACCATTTAAACATAAGAAAGAGAAACTTTTTAAGTGTAAGGGTGACTGAGCACTAGAAGGCTGCCCAGAGTGGCCATGGATTCTCCATCGTTGGAGACGCTCAAAATCCAACTGGCTACGGTCCTGGGCAACCTGCTCTAGCTGACCTGGTTTGAGCAAAGGGGGCAGACTAGACGATCTCTAGCAGTACCTTCCAGTGTCCACTATTTTCTGACTCACATTTTTATAGCAATAATCCTCCAAATTCCTTAGAATTACATATTGCACCTTTCAATTTCAAGAACAGAATAAAACAAACGCAGTAAAAGACAACCAAAGTAGTGTTTCTTAGGGAAAAAAAAAAAAAAAGATGCTTTTCAGTGTGTCTTGTTTAAATAAAATAGGCAAAACTGACAGCCTGTTATATTTATACTGCTACCGTTAGTTAAACTGAATCTCAAAACTAAGCTCGTTAACGCTAAAAGTCACACAATAGACTGAACATCTAGGTTAGAAGTATTTGATCTCAACAATGCAATAATATATTATACTTGGGGGTGACAATACTTACTTTATTACTGAAAACAGCGTTCTGTACAACTGTGTAAAAATCTCATTGCTGTCTTCCAATTCAAAGCATATGTTATAAGACTTGACCCAAGCAATGTTCTGTGTTGAACAGGAAAAAAATAAAAGGAGTAGTTAATACATGATCAAGTTGAAAAATTACAGTTATTACAAAATAAGTTATGAATCTTACCTCAAGCAAATAAAAATATCGGTTAAACTGGGGGCTTTTTGTATCTTCTAAACCTTTAAGTTGCCTTGTTATGAACATAAATATATCCTGAAAAGAAAGAAGTGATAGTTATTTAAGCAATTACAATGAAACTTTCAAAATCAAAATAATTACCCTTTTAAATTACTAGTATTATTCATCATTACAAAATATGCAGCAATGACAGACACACTATTTCACTGTCCAAAAGAAGATGATCTACAAAATACCATGGAGAATGTCAAGGAGTAATTTTTAAATGCTTCATGTTTCTATAAAGGGTTGAGAAAGCAGCCTTTTTTTCTAAGGAAGCAAAGGTTTTTCTTTTCTAAAGAAAAACACTCGACAAACAGAGCTGCAATTGGCTGACATGCTGCAAAAGTCAAAAGATTATTCAGAAGGACAACGAATTTTACATTTTTACTTTATACTGCAATAGTTTTTGACAGAAGGGTAAAAAAGCAGTAAGCAACTGCAGCTTTCCCAAGAGTATTATTATACGTTTAGACTGTACTGTTTGTGCATTTCTCAGTCATCAGGCTACTGACACAGATCACATCTCTTGCAAAATAAAAACAAATGAAAAAAAAACCCAATAAGCCCAAGTTTCTCCTGCTTCCTTAATCAACTTTCAGCACCAGACTTCAGGAAGTCTCACACAAAATAAATTCAAGCAGGTTATGAGAAGCAAACAGTCAATTATGAACAGAATGGAAACACACAGGAAGGTGTCTTTTGAAAATGCTTTTTACATTCAGATAATTAACAGCTGGAAATTCATAACTACTATATTTCATAACTGCTATATTAAATCAAAATATTCAGAAGTACGTATCACCAGAAACAGTATTCACAACCTCAACTGTATCTATATTTCATCCAAAAATCTACATACAAATCAAATAAATTCCCAAAGCTATAAAGTTGCCATAATAAATACAAGAAAGCCTTACAGTTAACCCTGAAAAAACTACCCTAGAAATAGTCTAGAAAGCTTTTCTATAATATTTTCAAAGGAACATTTCCCCTCACCCCTTCAAGAATAATGAGATGGATAAAGAGGACAATGAGGTTCCTTTTTTCCAAGGCTACAACCACAAAATCTAGCCTTAATCATTAAGCTGAGCATTACTGTGGTTCTAGGTAAAAACAAGAACTAGATTACGCGTGACACCATCATCTCTTGGCAAAAAAAGCACAGCAAGCACGTTGTTGAGAGATACAGCTACACTAATGTTTGAATTTGGACCACGATTGTGCCTTTGAAGTGCTAAGTAAGGATGATCAGAAGAATCACTGTTTGGTTTACACTTCAGTTCAGTTACAGAGCACATGAACTGGACTCTTTAGTTGAAATCAAACCAAAAGACACAGTTCAAAGGACACATCTAATGGACTCCAACCACTGAAAGGCATTCAGTCCGCAGGCAAAAGCCAGACTGAAGAACCCCCCCTTAAAAATTAGTGCCTGAACCACTAGCAGGCCATCAGCCCACCCAAAATGAGTTCCATCATCTGAAAAAGTAGCACACCAGAAGGTGCTGTGAAGTTTAGAAGGCACACAAACTGAGCCTCAGGGAAGGATAAGATTCAATTAAAGAAGAAAGGGAGCATCCAAGAGAATGACCAATTCCAAATATAAAAACAACTTAATCTTAGAATTCATGCCTGAGGCATAATGATTCTGTTAAACTTTACTTGTACAGATAAATCTCAATCAGTTCATTTAACAATGTATCTTTACTTTTTATCCTGCAGCTCAGTACATAATGCTTACTTACTGAATGTGATTCAAAGACCCTACTGAAACCAAAACTAATTTTCCCGATTTTTATAAATTACTCATCACTGTATTGTATATGAATACATACATTAATGAATAGCATACATGTACAATATGTCTAGCATCCTAATGCTTCACAAATAATCATTTGAAAAAGTAATAATTTTACTTATTTATTCCTATTCCTGTTTTAAAGGAAGCAAGACAGACTAAACTCAGAAGTGCTCACTAATTTTTAATATCTAGTGTAACAGGACCTAAAGTTTTTCCCTTTTTTGAGTATATAGAATATACTATTTGAACATACATTTATAATCCTAAAACACAGGATAAAATAAACTTTGGCTGCAACTAAGAAGTTGCAACACTTTCACAAATTGGACAATATGGTTTCACATCAGACTCCATAAGGCAAGTCTACATTAGACTCTAAAACCAAAAGTTCTTATACTTCAACTTTAGGCAGAATATGGAATGTTTTTTTGTGAATTGTTGTCTTGATACTAATTAACCACACAACGGCTTCAGTAAGCATCAGAGCTATGGCTTTCACCACAGAACACACTCAGATGCTTGAAGTTCTGCTACCATATACACCCTTAAACATCTCCATTTCAGCCAAGTCAGGCAGACAGTCCATTTGTCCAAGTGGTTTTCTTTGACACGTAACAGTGATTAGAACATCTTCCCCCCAGAAAATTAGATTTGGGCTCTAGGCTTTCCCCAGACTGAGGAGGACTTAAAGTGAGAACTTTCTAGATCCTAGAAGAGCAATCTCCTGCTCCAGTTCTGCTCTTAGCCTACTCGTGGCATTTTCCATCCCTGTGGTCAAAGCTCTTTCAACAATCAGCGAGAAATGTAAGATTTCTACTGAGGATACAAATCAGAGAAGGAAATCTGAAATTCTGATTCCTTCTCTCAGTATCTCACTGGCACGATGCATAAATTACAACAAGTTCCGCAGAGTCTGAAGCAAGGACAAAAACTTAAATCTCAAGTTTTGCCTCTCAAGAAATTATCCTTTTCAGCACTTGCCTTTGCCATCTTTAACTTTAGTGCTAAACATACTAGAAGAGACTCAAAGCTGCAGCACAGATATATGATATTAAGTAATGGGTTAAAAATAGTGCCACAATATAACCCAAGAGGAAGCATTCTTCCTCTTACCTCTTTGTCATAAGTGGAGGGAACTCTTCAATGTTTCTATCACAGCTTCTCCGGCAACCACAAAAGCTGTGTTCAGCAGAAACAGGTTTGCAAAAACGTACCTCAATAGCCCTCAAAGACCTCTATGTTTGTCCTTTCTTTATTTCTCAAAACGTGTTTAGAAATCTGCATCAAGAAACTGAATTCTGAAATCTGCACAGATTACAGAACTGAATGCTAACAGTGGAATTTCCCAGTCTGTCCAGAGCTCTATCCAAGGAGTAGTAGTAGCAGTATGCTTACACTGCAAGTAAGAGATCAGTAATGCGAGCCTTCCAATACTATATACTATAAAATTTGAAACCTAGTAGCATTTGATAGATCAAATTCTGTAAGGAGGAATATTATAATTTGTTAGCCCACTCAGCAAGAAAGGGAAAAAAAAAACCTCTAAGCCAAATGAGCAAAGGAAAACATACACTCAAAACTAAAATAGAAATCAAGATGCCTCAAAACTGGACTTAAATATAGCACAGTAGAGAAAGCTAATGTTTGTCTCCAGTTGAAGATGGTGTGATCAATAAGTAAGGTAGCTAGATAGTGTGTAATCAGAGGTGCAACAATTCCGAATTAAGAAAATACAGCTAACCGAAATCCCTAGGTATCCCTCCAGCATGCCTGGTAACAAAGGATGTACTACAGTCGAAACCGTACTGTTTGCCCTACTTAGGAAGCACTTCTGGTGCAACCACTAGATCAGAAATTGAGCGATTCCTTCTTGAGTGATAATAGATATACCTTCCACCACGATCATCTTTTTATCCTACTGTAGAAAAAACAAAGCAAAAACAAACCAAAACATAAAAAGCCTACACACACTCTTAAATCAAGGAGACAAAAAAGTATGCATTTTTTCAGTGTTATTTTCCCCTGCAAGATTTTCTATAAGACTCAGTTCATCACTCTAGATTCAGACTATGTAAGGGAAGTAGTTTGATTTTGTGAGTTGGAAAGAGAGTTAGATTTCTATTAAAAACAAAATTAAAAAAGAAAAGCACAAAACAATCTAAAATTTAATTTTTCTGAAACAAATGGGGCAGATCTGCACTGCCTTTTCAAACCTGGCATTTATCTATCAACCACCTCCATCTAGTGGGATCAGTGATGTTTGTAACTGCAGAATTTTCTATTTCACATCAGAAATCATTGTCCTTTGTACAAAAATACTTTTTTTTTCAATACAGCCTTTATCTATAAAAATACAGTAATCATCTCTTGTAGTTTAATTGAAAGTAGCAGAGGTATTTTTCCAACCGAAGGAATTAGCTGTCTTGCAAGAGATCATGAGAAAAGCTATAGACATATCAATACCTCTAAAGTAGCAGACCACTGTCTGTAAATCCCAATGACAGTTCAATAAAATATTTATTTTCAATATAAATCCAAAACTCTCTTATTGGAAGATGTACTATTTACCACTTTATCTGATGAACATTTGACCTGACCAAACACCCCTATCCCCTATCAAGTGAAAACTTTGGATTGCTTAGGCTGAACTGGAAACAAAGGGAGAAAAATGTTATAATCAATTATATCAATCATTCAGTTTAAAAACCTGGTGTGGAAAAAGGGATTAATTCAATTTACCTTTAGTTTATCCGGTGAAGTGTATGGAGCTTCAGGGGCATAAATTCTGAAAATATCAGCAAGACAACATGCTACCAACAAACGTACATCCTTATCAGGATGTTTGAGGAAAAAATCTGAAGCAAGATGTAAAGCAAGATTTAGGTAGAGCTCCTTTTCTTCTTCAGAGTCCTGGTCCATATCCATGAAAGTTTTCACAACCATCTAAAAATACACACAACAGTATATAAAATGAAATACAAAGTGTAACAGGGTCCTTACTGAAAGTTCCTTTTCTGTTTTCATGCAAATTCTGTTAGAAGCACTATTAATAATGCGGTAGTACTTATTTGAGTAACCATTACCTTATTTTTCAGGGTACAGGAAGGACCTAGTCAAGTCCTCTATCAATTGTCCTAACACACAGTCTCAGCAGAGTTACTGAAAGCCTAGCTGTAGTACTTCACTTATCTTTTTGAGAAATCATATAATCAAGTTGGCCAAATAAATAAATAAAAACCCGCAACAGCATCCACTGTTATAGCCATTCACTGAAAAATTTAGAAAACAATAAAGCTTTATTTAAAATACTTATTTCTCCCTAAAGTATTTCGGGTTACAATTTACTTTCCCTCTATTTTCTTTCAATTTCAGGTTTTTCTCTAGTACCGCACTGATAAGTTTAGCCCCTGTGCTGCTTTCAACAGCAGCATGCATGTTGTCCAACAGGACTAAAACACCCATTAGTATTATTTGGATCCAGCAGACTAAAGTTATGGAAGAAAAAGGAAAAAAAAGTCTGGGACACCAAGTATTTAACACCCTAAATAGAACAAAAGCAAGAAAAACCATAATTAGTAACTGCTAGTTGGTGAGAATTCTTACATTTAAAGAACTGTTTGGAGGAGAAAAACCTACTGACAAAACAAAGTAATTATGTTTGTCTCCAATTTCTTATTTGAATCACAGAGGCAGAGTTATTTTAAGGAGTTCAACTCTCGTTAAAACTAGTTTACTGTAATTAGTCAGGTAGCAAAAAATCCTACTTTAAAAAAGGAAGGATTTCTGCATAATTAGGATCACAGCAGCTGTGAAGTTTCCAAGGATATCAGAATCCTTTACCAAAAGGCACAGAAGATTGGCAGGTTACGCACATGTATAGTTTTCACTGTGAGAAAAATAAAGTCCACCCCAGTCAGATACAAGATGAACCACTTAAAGTACACTGGTGCCCTTACACCCTATTAAAGTAATTTAAAAACCTGAATTGTTTTCGCTTCTATGGAAAGTAGGTTGATTTATATAATTAACAAGGTAATGAATAAATATACAGGTGTCACAAGAGTTCTTGCAACAAGTATGGTTTTTGTCTACTCTAGAAATGAACCTTCACGTTTCTCTTCCCTGACAACATGAACTTCCATACTGGGCAGGACAACAGAAAAATCAGTCATCTTGTCTCCAGAGTAACCTGTTCACAGCGTTTAAGGAAAAACAAAGAAAAAAAGCTAGTTCTAGCGTATATTTCTAGCTTCCTCCAAAGGAATAGATTAAAGGATTCCTGGACCTGAAATCACACCCAGGCCACCATGATTAATACTCCCAGAGCTTCATCTTCCAGATGTGGCCTACATTTCTTAATGCATTCAATTTTTCCTACATCTTTCTACTGTAATAAGCTTTGGAATTTATTTCTATAACTTATGGAAAAGTTTGTTATTAGACTGCTGGTCTAATACTTAGTATATTTCATTAGATGATGCCTTGGTTCTTGTGTATTAAGAGAAACTGTGGAAAAAAGAAAGCTTTTCTCACATCATTCATCATTTCCAAGTGGTTATCACCTTCTTTCTGTCTTCAGCGCTAGTTCATGACTCCGACCATTTAGTTTCTATCTCCTTTCCAAATCTACTATAACTTGAGGGTGGCATGGATCAGAAATGCATAAAATTTCTGAGTTAAGTTACACTAATACAGAAACTCACTACATATTTTCCATTTTATTCTCAGATTTCCCAATAATTTGTATTTATATAAATAGATTGTTGTTAACAAACAGCAGACTATCCACATGTGTAAGTCAAAATAAAATCCACAGAAAAGTGCTTCTTCCTTAATACTTATATGAATTTGGCAGTCAGGGAAATGAAGGGGCTAGCAGTTCACTTATTTACCAACTACTGTTCTTTATCACCTGCAACTGTGTTTATATTGTAGGTCTGTACACTTGTGTAGCATAGATCATATAATCCTTCATAAAAAAAAAAAATTGTGTGGTTTTCTCCCTGCCTGGAAACCAACGAATGCACAGCCAGAACAAACAGCTGCCAAGAAATACAGGATATCCTCAAAAGCACACTTCTCCTGAAGGAAAGATCAAGGTGAGAGAACAGAAGGGACTAGACATTCAAGGCCAAAAATGAAATGAAACTATAGCAGAAAAAGTATCAGTAAGAACTGTGTGCATTTTCACAAGCTGAAAAAAAAAAAAGATGCAAGTGCTAACAAATAATTTCTTCTGTTAGGGGTCACTCATACATAAAGTTATAAATGTCATCTATTCAACATCACAGACTGCAGTATACTGACTACAGTCTATCAGTCCCACACCGGTTACTGAGGGGAGGGGAGAAGGAAACCTTGTGCTTTGGGGCTTTATTGGGTTTTGTTCATTTACCAGTAGTTCCAACTGACTTAAAACTACTTCTTAAGAAAACAACCTCCAAATTAAGCTCTTCCAGCTGTTAGAATACCTCAGGTTCCTCTCCCACATCTGTTCCCTCCTGTTTCACAGGGCAAGCCCAAGTTGCAGGCATTCCTTCTGCACAATACTAACAGTCCTGCCTTTTTGTGACAGTACATGGGTAGATAAACAACCGTAGTAACATAATTATCCCCCATATCTCTCCAACCTTCCTATAGAGTTAGGTCAAATAAAGCAGTTAAGAAATTCAGGAGATAGAAATACGTAGTATAATCAACGACTACCTTCATTACAATACAGGCTAAAATAATGAGACTAAAGGGTTTTATAATCAACTCAAAGAGCACAACTACATAAAAGGAATGTATCCTGAGGCATCCATAGTATTTCCAAAATTATTACTCTCTTTGTGTTTTCCAATATTTTCTTCTCTAAAAGTACTGGATTACTGTAAGAGCTGAAATAAATACTACTAAAAGTTTGAAATTAATATAGCTTATTTCCATTTGTGAATTTTTAACTCATTTAAACGTTTTTGAACAAGTCACTTTAAGAAAGTGGTAGAACAAAAGGCACAATAGCCAACAAGTTTCTCCTTCTGAGCATAGGAAAGGTAAGGCCCAAAGGGGAAAAAAAAAAAAAAAATATCCTTTCACAGACAGACAGTATAGTAATAGGATCATTGAATGCTGTATACAAGAAACTTCAATCTGCAAACAGTTACTTGCTTACTCACCTTTAGCCTTCTCACCATCTCTTCCTTAGATATTTTGTCAGAGATCTCTTTGACTCCTGGAGGATATGTGATTTTTCCATCATTGGCTCTCGTCTTTGAATGAGCCATGTTTTCACAATTTTAAAACTGTGGAAAGAAATTAAGAAGTCAATGTTGTTTAGCTAGTTTGTTTACCTTATCTGTCCCACTTTCACAAACAAAATCCAACTAGAAATATACCCACAAAACCCCATAAAGACAAAGAAAAAAATGGACAAAATATTTTGATTGTTTTCAGTAATCAATATTGTGGCAGAGAGCAATGGTTTTGATATTCAAGTAGATTGTCCAATACTACAATAAAACTTTCACAAAGTACACAAGAGAAAAAAAGCTAAAACTCCTCATTCCTGAATGTATTTGATCTTCACACTTAAGAGATGCAACCAAGAATCTTCTTATCTTACTGTACAAACTGTTTCCACAACTTGGCAATAATAAATCCTAGCCAGCTTGGATTTTTGGACTCGCTGAGAACAGAAATCTGAAGTGGACTTTGTGTTTTCCAAACAATTAAATAGAGCACAATTTCCCCAAATGTCTAAATAGTAGTGCTGCTGAAGTTTACACATCACTAGTTTTAATTCACCAATACTGCCAGGCAAGCAGCAGACAGAGAATGGAGTAGGGACAGGAACCGAGCAGATCAAAGCAAGTCTTTCCTCTATGCCATAAAGCCAAGTTTTTAAGCAAAAGACTGCAGATAAGCAACGATATCTTCTTCCTAAGTTCCAAGTATGAAACAACTCAGTTACTTGGTTTCTCAGTCCCTTTAAACTGATGCAAATGCAGATTGGCACCTGATCTATCCTAAGTTATGCAAAGTTCCACTGATGTAGAGAAGGAAGTGGAATTGAAAGCTTTGCTTAGATAAAAGCAATTGATAAAAACACCCAGACAGCATGTGTTGGGATAATTAGGAGTTTAGAAAAAGACTGTACCAGGGCAGAAACAAGTCAAGAATGTAACAAAGGAAATAACATTTCATTGCCATTGCCTCAGTATTTTTATTTATTTATTTAAAAGCTTGAAACATTTCCTCACAGTCACCACTTTCCTGAACTGTCAATTCCAAGCCAGGCATTTTCTTCCTACTGACCTCCTATACAAAGATCTATGTACACTTCGAACTTATCAGAAATAAAAATCAACCAGAACCCACAAGAAGAGATGGGCTAGAAGTATGTTCCCCAACAGGAGGGTGTAACCTGCCATACTTGACACTTACTGGCCCAAGCCAAGGTCATTCTACACTGAAGGAGAACTAGAACATGAAACACATTCATCCACCCACTCCTAAAAAAATACCCCAATTTACTTTGTATTCTTCAGCCCACATTTCACAGTAACAACCCAAGTTACAGATTTGGCTTCATCTTTACTAATCTTTTACCAAACAAAAAGTTAACGTTGACATTTAAATATTTTTTGTAAAGAATACATACAGCACAATACATCTTCATTTTAGGAAACAGGGAGAATATGGGTAGAACAAACATAGTCATACATCATTCAACAGGCAGGATACGCAACGTACTTCAATAGCTACACAAAAGCCAACTCAGCTTGTCACCTTCTCTGTACCTACATACACACAGCAGTCGAACCGAGTGCTACGTACTTGCAGTTGTAGTAAAAATAGATAATGAGAAAGTTGGGATGGAACAAAACTCGTTGAAGTAACTTTTTCTAATACTCCCAGGAAAATATGATGCCACCTTTATCCTCATTATATTTTTTAATGCGCTTTCATGACAATACGTCTAGGACTCCTCAAAAACACACAGAAGATGTAACCAAGTTCACTCTTTGTGCTGTTTGACACAGATATTCCATTTTAGCTTTCAGATGGGATGCTGCTATATGTCATAGTTAAATCCATTTTAACAGCTCATCGTAGCAGAATGGAGTCTTGCTCCCCTCAATCCAAGAATGTATAAAAGCATCAGATGCTTTGCTGGACCAACTAAACTCACAACCTCAGAAAACCAAGGCTAATTGGTTTTGAAAAGCATGTGACAAGCACCAAAGCTAACTCAAGAGAAGGAACAGGAACTAAGGGAACTGGGGAACAAAACTCCCCATTCCAGTGGTGGATAGCTGTCAGATCAGATCAACTGCAGTGGAAACTTGATGAGAACATGGTGATATAGTCCCATTTGCAGCACATTTTGAAATAATTCAAAGACTTAAACTCATATATTATGGTCAAGTTGAACTGTCTAGCTGATACATCCAATTGACATGCAATCAAGCTTTTAAGCTTGAGTGGCATCCAAGGTCTGGGTTTGAAACTGAACATCTGTATTGTCTTTACATGGCAAGGTTTTTGTAGCAGGGGAGGCTGCAGGGATGGCCTCTGAGAGAAGGGGGCAGGGGCTGCCTCTGTGCCGGACAGAGTCAGTTCCAGCCAGCTCTAAAATGGACTCATCCCTGGCCAAAGTTAAGCCCATCAGTGACATTGGTGGTGACTCTGTCATAACATATTAAAGAAATGGTAAAAAACGCTGCACAGCAGCTATGAGATACAGAAACAAAAAAAATGTGAAAGAAACAACCCTGCAGACATCGAGGTCAGTGAAGAGGGAGAGGAAGAAGGGATTCCAGGCACTGGAGTAGATTCCCCTGCAGCCCATAGAGAAAACCATGGTGATACAGGTTGTCTGCCTGCAGCCCGTGGAGGACCACGTCAGAGCAGATACCCAGACTGCAGCCTGCGGGGATGAGCCCACGCTGGAGCAGGCTCCTGGCAGTACCTGTGACCCTGGGGGGACCCAGGCTGGAGCAGTCTGTTCCCGAAGCACTACACCTCATGAGATGGGCACAAGTTGCATCCTCAAGTTGGACCAGAGGAGGTTTAGATTGGATATTAGGAAGAATTTCTGCACCGAAAGGGTTGTCAGGCACTGAAAGAGGTTGCCCAGGGAAGTGTGGAGTCTCCATCCCTGGAGGTATTTAAAAGATGTGTAGATGTGGTGCTTAGGGACATGGTTCAGTGGTGGGCTCGGCCCTGCTAGGTTTACGGTTGGACTTGAAGATCTTAAAGGTCCTTTCCAACCTAAACAATTTCTATGATTCTATGCTGGAGCAGTTCTTGAAGAACTGCAGCCCATGGGAAGGACCACAAATTTCTCCAATGTGGAAGGACTGCATCGCTTGGTTAGGGTCCACATTGCAGCAGGGGAAAAAGTGTGAAGAGGGAATGGGAGAGATGAAGGGTTATAAACTGCCCACAACTCCTCTTCCTTATCTCCCCTGCACTGCTCAGTGGGGAAGGTGGATGAGTCAGAAACGAAGGAGTGAAGTTGAGTCTGGAAAGAAGGGGGGTTGGGGAGAAGGTGTCTTTAGTTTTTTCCTTGTTTCTCACCATCCTGCTCTATTTTTAATTCGCAATAAACTAATCTTCCCCAAGTCAAGTCTGGTTTGCCTGCAATGGTTATTGGTAAGTGATCACCCTAGACTTATCTTGACCCATGAGCTTTTTCATCTGACTTTCTCCCCTGTTCTGTTGAGCAGGGGGAGGGAGAGAGCAGCTGGGTGGGTGCTTAGCAGCCAGCCAAGGTTACATAATAGGGTACATAATAACTTAGCCCTCTCAGAATTACAGAACACACTAAATAGGAATCAATTTTCTACAGAATTAATAAATCTAATCTTATAGAATCAAAAATTAATTTTAAAAATGTTCAATGAAATAGCCTATTACTTAGACCATAAGGGACAAAGAATAATAAGCCCTTTAAACTTCCTATGTAATACAAATTTGCAGATCACTCCTGAAAGTTCTTTAGGATTACTAGTAAGCTTTACTGGGGGAGGGGGCGAAATCAATTAAAAGAAACGGTAAAAATCAAAACCTATCATTCCACAAGAGAAAAATGCAATGATAAACTACCCTCTTGTACAACAGTTACCACTTCAACCATTACCTAAACAAAACTGAATCAGCTTGTTACATCCCACTGCCAGAAGTTCTTGCTCTTCTGGACTGCCAGTACAGCTGTGCATACCTAGCTCTGTCAAAATAATCTGTGTTGAACACTCAGTAGGATCTAGGATTGGGGGGGGGAAGGGGGGTGTTTTTAACCAATTCCAGCCAAATGAAAGTCTTCGTGATTTCACATAACAGCTACACCAGCTCTTTCGGTTACCTTCTGTCAGGGAAAAGGTAGATAGTGACAGCTAAGAACAGCGGCCTCCAGGGTAGCTGTATCTAGAACATGTTCAAGCATGAAAATCCATAAGTCAGTGAGGTGATATCCAATGACTGAATTTCAAAAAGCTTTTTAAATTTGTTTTTAAAGATACACCATCTTTTTTTGGAATACATCGGAAAATGACAAGCATTTTGAAAAAGGGCAATTCTTTGAAAGTTTGAGATTCAACAAGAGACTCAGCTGACAGATTTTATTTTTAACAACTTAAACTTTAGAAGTTCTCCATAATGTTTTCAGATATCCTGTATTATTCCATATGCACAATCAGAAGGCAAAGAAAGGCTCACATGGATACCTCTAAGGCAAGAAAACACTCCAGACATTAAGATGCTTTGCACCAGCCAGAATATAAGCTTATTAAGTAACCGGTAAGATGTGCACTGTTTCTGCTGTTATATGAGACCAAAAAAAAAAGGAGATAGATATAACAAGAAACTTCAACAAATACATAACAAACAAATGCTAATCCTAATAATAGGCAGAAAAATCATGATTCAATCGGGCTTTGGTTATGTTAAGCAGTACTATAAGCTAAGTCAAGTCTTCGAAAACTACAAAGCAAGTTAACATATCTTAAGCTAATACAGCATTTAAAATATTAATCCCACTCCTTGTATAGAGGGAGATGATACAGTAGGACTTCAGATGTCCAGGCACTGCTGCTTTCAACACAGAAGCACCACTGCGACTATAACTTGAAAGACTCGAAATCAGAAATCAAGCACAAGTCTGTAGAACTACACTGAAAAACGGTATGCATAAAAAAGCTTGACAAATTAAAAACTAAATTATATGGGGGTGGTGGTGGTAGAAACCAGTACAAGAAAAGCGACAGAAAAAAAGACAGATGACAAAATACATACTCTTTGTG